GGGAAGACATGGAGAGGGGAAAGGCAGAAAAGAGACAAAGGCAGGGCAACCATCCAAAATTAGGTGAGAGGGAAGAAGGGCAAGGCGTGGGCAGGCGGTGCCTCCCTTGCTGGGGCTCCTGCAGAGGGGCTCCCAGCTGGTGGGCTGACCACAGGCCTCACCGCTATGGCTGGCCACTGTCCCTGCTCAGCAGGATACACACTCAGCCGGGGAGAAGCTGGCAGGGCAGGCGCCGGGGACAGAGTGGCAGGGTCCACACTGTCTTTCCTGAGCTCAGGCTGACATCTTCCCAGAGGAAACTTGTTTGTCAGAGTGAGCAACTCCCTCCCACTTCCCTTCTCTCCTAGGATGCCAAGGGGGAGGACAACAGCGGCTGTTAAAATGGCACCTCTGTCTTCAGTGGTCTGGCCTCTCTTCCCGTATCCCCGTCCTTATCAGCCCGTCTTATCCATAACAAGTCTCTGGCTCCCACAGACCACGATCAACACAGCCATTGAGAACACGCTGGAAGGAGCCCAGCTCCTGAGCTCCGGCACGGCAGGCCGCAGGGGGACCGCCGGGATCTCGATTTCCAGTGTCTGTAACCTCATGAAGTGTTGGGGTGGGGGGAGCTTTATTTTCAGAATCTAGATTTTGTTTACGGCCTGGATGGTAGCACGAGACACCAGGCCAGCCCTATTCTTCTGCGGCTCCAGGACGCCAAGGTCTCAGGAGATCCCATTCCATGGGGCACCTGGGCCTCCCCTCAGGCTTTGTCTTGAGTGCAAAAGACTACGGAGCTAAGTTTTGTGAAAACAGACAAATACTCCCCTTGAACACTAAGTTTTAAGACCCCCTGTGCTCCGAGCACCTCTGTTCCCATCAGTTCCTAGACTGAGTCTCAAGCCCCCTGGCTCCTACAGGAGCAGCGACAGCTGGTGAATTACTGGCAGCATCTGTCCACGCCGTGTTATTAACGCCGTTATTCAGCACCGCTGCCATCAGCACCTTCGGAAGGGTGAGCCCAGGGATAGGACACCCTTCCAGGTGGTTTCTCTCCCTGATAACTACTATCCTAAGGCACGTCATGGCCAAGGAGAGTCAGTATCACACATATGGCATCTGAAATTATTCTAACGTTCAGACCACCAGTGCCATACCTGTGTCCATAGCGGTGGAGGATTAAGATTTGATTTCATTCAGAAAACTCTTAACAAGCCTCTACTTTTTGACTGAGACAGTTGGAAGCCTAGCTGCAAGGCCTAAAACTTTAATTTAAGATCAAAATGACAAATTAAAATGCCCCCTTCTTTGAAGAATTATAAATAGTCCACTCTTCCCAAGCTTTGGCGGCCCACGGAAGCCAAGGATGACCTCGTGGGGACACCTGCTGGGAACTAAAAGGCCACATATGCACTGACCTGTAAGAATGAGACCCCCTAGTCTGTGGACTGGAGTGCCCTGAAATGCACAGCAAAAAATTTCATAGTCATAATAAAGTGTCCAAGCTGTTGCTTGGATTCTGGTTACCTGCCTTATCTGGAAGCAACCAAATCCTCTCAGTTGGGAAGTTCAAGGGATAGAAGATACGAATTATCAAGAAGGTCAAATAAGTATATCTAAATGCACCAGAGCCACATTTTCCCCAGGACCTTAAAGACACATGCTTGGAAAGAGATGGAAAGAGAACTGACTGTCAGAAATGCTAACAGGTAGCTTTTGAAGAACTCATTCCAAAGGAGAGACAGGGTCTTGAGAAGTTGCTGGTTCATAGGTGGTTGGCAGAGCTGGGTGGTGGCAACATAAACATCAAGGATGAAAGAGGCCTAAAACTCTGAATTGTTAAAAGTGGCAGAAAATGTTTCCAAACTACCATTACCAAGAGCAATTGTAAGGCACACTGTTGGCAGCCGGCTGGTTGACCTGGCAGAAAACCTCACACTCACCAGCTGACTTGAAATCCCATTAACTACCCCCTCCCCAAAGATATCTTGGAAATAAGCTAGATCAGTATCTAGAATCACCACATGGGGCTCACCCCCCCAACCTCAAGGCCATTTGTTCACAGCCCTCATAATGGATTAGCCAGGTGTGTCACAGTCCCCAGAAGACAAAATAGTGAACCCCAGGCTTTGTAAAAACGATAGATGGCACTGTCCAGATGATATTCGAGCCCACTGCAGACGTGCAACACAGCGAACACCATCTCTCATTTGGAGCAGACAGCTTACAGAGCAGCCAGGGCAAGTGAAAACCTTCCAGGATGACTTCGATCCAAACCCACTGCTGGGTGCGTGTGTTTGGAAAGGTCCAGCTTAAAGGCCTGGTATAGATGTGAGAGCAGATTTTGGTGGGCAATAGGGAGGAGGCGGATGGAGCTCCTGGCTTTTCCCTTGCTGTGGACTGGTCCTGCCATCTCAGGCATCTGCAGCTCAGTCTCAAAAACAGCCACATATTTCCCTGCCATGTTTCTCCCTGAGGACAGGCAATTCAGTGAATTCTGTTAACTTCTTTACCCAGATGCAGGACGTTCTCTAGCGGGCTTCTCCTGGCGGTGTTGTTGCAGGGGAGAAATGTTAATTCCCTGGGAACACTCTGTGGAAGAAGGGGGGCAGCAGAGGCAAAGTAATCTCTTCCTTCAACCTCCTGAAAGATTTACAAGGGGAAAGGCCTGCCTGGAGTCACACCAGAGGCCACAGCTTGTCGTCTCTGCAGCATCTGCCTGGGTCACGAAGGCCCAGCAACATCTGGCCCCACCGCGGCCTGGAAAGGAAGCAAAACTGGTTGGCCCATTTCTCAGGGTAGCACACCATCTTCCTGGAATTCCCTTCTCCAAGAGCAACCTCCTCTTCTGCATGTCCACTCCCTGCACAGCACGGATAAATAAGGAAGAGTGAGCCCAGTATGGCCTCACATGAGCAATTTCTCACACCAACTTGAGAGGGTCTTTGAAGATAGTGAGAGGCAAGGAGGATCCTTCGTAGGAATACTTTCTTGGTGGGGGGGTGTCTGGCCTTTTACACAGCTGAGGCCAGAGGTATCTGTAATGAGCTCTTTGCCTTAGTACTGCTGGAAGGAGCAAAGCAAATTAGAAAGTCCTGGGCTGGGAGGTGGGGGGTGGGGTAGGAAGACCAAGAAGAAAACCAGATATACTTGTATCTTATTGTGAAATAGATAAGCTTTAATATTCATATTTAATTTAAAGTCATCAAATTGAAAAAACAAAGTTGAAAGAAACTTCGGAAAAAAAAAATTAGGTGACACTGCTAAAAACAAAATCTAAGACAACATGTTTTCTCAATTTAAAAAAATTCCAGCGTGTACTGGGGCGCGGAGGGGGTGTTGAATAAATCAAGTGAAATTTTAATTTTAAAAGCAATCAACATTTCAAGAGCTGCCTTCATATCTGAGGTCCCAGTACCAAAGTGACCACGTTCATTAATGAACAGAAGCTGCCCAGCATCGTGCCCAGAGGAAAAGCGAGATTTTCCTTCCATTCGGCAGGCTGCCCCTTTCTTCTTCTTTGTTCTTTTTCTTTTATAAACCGCAACCCTGACTGCTTCTAGTGGTAAACACAGGAACACCCATGCTGTGCCACGCTTCCAAGGAACACCGGGATGACAAGAGGCAAAATGTCACATCACGCTGGGTGGTGATCCTCAAGTTCCACATCCATGTCACCGGTCAGAGAAATGGCTGATGAATCAGAACATACGCTGCAGACACTACCTTCCTACGGGCACTTGGGGAAGCTGCATGAACTCTTTCTGGCCACTGGCGATGGCATTTGTAAACAGTCACCCGGAGGAAGGAAAGCACCTTCCAGAAGCATTTTACGTGCTTTCTGAGGGCCCTAACCTAGGCCCTGACAGCCTGCTTCCTACAACGGGATACAACACATCTGTGAGCGCTATTATGAGCCAGATCAAATGCTCCTCACTTAATCCCAGCCCATCTGCCGGGTAGTAGCCATCCCTGCTGCACAGACAAGTAACTGAAGCAGAAATGGATGAAGCTTCTCCAAGGTCACAGAGCAGTCACAAGGGAAGCAGGTTCTCGGACTGGAAAGCCCACTGCACATCTTTCACTTGCTGCTGGATTCTCGCACGATTTAAACGGCCGAAGAAAACCCAGAACGTGCAGCTCGGGCTTTGGAGTGAGATGCATCTGCGCTCGAACTGAACAGTCACTCGCTCTGTGAGGCACCGCACCTGCGCCCCTCCTTCAGGTCCCGATGCAGGGACTTCCGTGCCACTTCCTAACAAAGCACTGCACGGGAGGGACCGTTTCTGAAGAACCGGGGAATGGACATGCAAGCAGAGGGAGCTGCTTTCTCTCTCTCTCTCTCTCTCTCTCTCTCTTTGAACCTCCCTGGTCAGGGCAGGATGGGGTTGGCCCCATTACTTAGCTCCCGGGGTGAGCACATGGCCCCAGCCTGGCTTTCTGGGGCGTCACCACGAAAGAGATGATCTTGGAACTACTGGTTGCCTTTCTTACCACCACGGAGAGAGAGTCTCTCTGAGAATGCTGCCAACAAAGTAGAGAAAGAGAGATTCTTCTGAGCCCCTGGAGGCAGCCATGCCTGAGGCTAGAAGCCCTGAACATCCGGGTTAAATGAACCAATCAAACCGGGCACATGGGGCAGCCAAGGGCACTGACAAATACAAGTCCATCTGATCCAAATGTATGAAGCTTGTTTCCTTCCCGCAGCCTCCCAGGCATAATGCACTTGGGAGAAAACCTGGGATCTTTATGTGAGTGAAAAAGGAGCGGGAGAAATCTTACCAAACAGGATGCTTTTCTGGAAAAACAAGACACTCAGGATGCCTGCAGGCTGCAGACTCCATCTTTGGGTAATAAGCCTTCCCTCCGTGGCCCTAGATCATTGGTGACAATGACGAGGCAGCTGCAGGCCTTTGTATTTGCCGTGCAGAAGCTGTGCAGATATGAAACTATCCGCACATCCTTGCTCTCACTGAGGCCTGAGAGCCAACAAAGAAAAAGACTTCACCCACACCTACCTGAAGCGCTGGAGACCCGGGACACGTCCTGGGCCTGGGTGGAGCGGTTGCGACTCTGCTGGCGACGCCGACCGCTGGCTGACCTTGTGGTGCGCACGTGGACCTCACTCACTTTGAAGAAGGCCACCATGAAAGGCTGCTTGTCATATGGGCCGTCTCTGCCCACCAGGCCTGCAGCTCGGGGGTTGATGCTGAGTCCTTGAATGCAAACCAAAGCACACCCCTCTTTATTCCATGTAAACTTACTCCTGCAGCTGCATAATGGATCCTTCCCGGCCTCCCAGGGACTAAACATAAAGAATGCGGCTGAGGGGAAAGCATGTGTATTCTTGGATCTCTGGTGGCACTCTCTGGATGGACAAAATCAACACCCTCCTTCCAGCCCTAGCTGGTGTTTCTCAGTGGTTAGAGTATCAGCCCTCACACCAAAGGGTTGAGGGTTTAATTCCCCGTCGAGGGCACAAACCTGGGTTATGGCTTCGATCCCTAGCCCAGGTCAGGGTGCATGCAGAAAGCAATAGATCAACTTGTCTCTCTCACATCTCTCTCATTTCTGCTAGTCCTTTTCCTTCATATTCATTCTTTCTTTCTGATCATATTCATCCCAACCAGTGAGGTGACTTCAACGCACAGAGCAAGCCCACTCTGAGGGCCGTAAGGGGCCCTGGATCTGCTGAACTTGGGTGCTGCAGGAGAAGGGGTGCTGGGAGGGGTAGACAGGGTCAGGATTTAGTCTATGCTCCCATCTTTCTTTCTCTCAACATCATCCACCTGCCTTGCCTTGAGTGCTCACTTCCCATTGTTTCTCTCGGATCCTGGACCACCCACCCGTCTCCGAGTCCTTCCAGAGGAAGGTTTTGCTTTTCAATAGCAGTTACGAGGAAACAGTGAAGGAAGTCATCGTGAGCTGTGGACTGGGCTGTAAACCATGGAGCTCTCATAACAGTTGAAGAGGAAATGAATGACAGCAGCTGGTGGCCTGATTTTGGCAAACTTACCATCCCGAGTCACCACGCTCAGCTGAAGCCCCATGTTGTGCTGTGGGGTCACGACCCACAGATTGCTAGTGGCCGTGATGTCAAATTCCAGCCAGCCTTCTTCCGAGGCCCACACTACGCGGGTGTCCAGCAGAAAGAGGTCAGAGTCTCTGAAAGAAAGAAGAGGCAGTGCCGTGAACGGCCGCTGTCCCCTTAGCTCACTCTCGCCCTGTCCTGCCTGGTGTCACAACAAAAGATGCCGGAGTCAGATCGGGTCCCACGGAAAGCAGTGCCCAGCGACCTGCCGCAGCTCTGGCGGGCGCGGCACCACAGCTCAGGTGCTGACACGTGGAGAGGTGACTGTGCCAGGGCCTGCAGAGAAACCGGCTTTCTCTGAAGATGGCAGGGCCCCTCAGCTTCACCCACAGCCTCGCTACGATGCTCACGCAAATCTCTAGTGGGATTAGGATAAATGACAGACAGATAGATAGGGTCATATTGTTCCTTACTTTATGGCTAATGAACTCTAGAAGGAGAGAAAGTCGGGGAGGGGGGAGCGCAGTGAGGAAAAGGATTAAGAAAATATTAAAATCGGGATCAATATGAGCTTTCACAAAGTTGTGCTTTGCTCATTTTCTTTTTAACATTAAGATCTGACACTCTTCACGTTGAAATGAGGAGAAACCAGAAGCCACATCATATTTCTGAGTAATCGCCGGTTCTCTTCCTTTAATTAAGGTATTTGCATGGTCTATGGTGAGTGTCAAGTCCTCTCCTGTCAGGACTGTGTGATGTGGGTGTATGTTGAGTGATTTTAAAGTTTATCCCAGTGCAGCTGTGAGCCAGGCTGGGGTTCTTTGAGGCAAACTTGTCGGGTCCATTCCTTCCATTGGGCTCCACAGGGAATATTTTTATACTTTTTACAGTTTTCAACTAACATAACCTTAGGGGTTGTGGGAAGACAGAGTGAGGGTTTCTTCCTGCTCGCCCACATGTCATGGTAGAGCAGTACCAGGGGACGGTCCCCTTCGTGCTGTAAGGACACTGAGTCTGAGCCCAGAATGCCCGTGATGGGGAGGGCACGTGTTTTGGTCAAGGAAAGATTTAAGTTCCCTGGTGCTGGCAATATTTTCCTGAAATATCTTAGAGCTGTGGTCAGCAAACCACGGCTCATGAACCACATGCGGCTCTTTGGCCCCTTGAGTGTGGCTCTTGCACAAAATACCACGTGCGAGCACGCACGTACAGTGCAATTGGAACTTCGTGGCCCATGCGCAGAAGTCGGTATTTTGTGGAAGAGCCAGTATTTTGTGGAAGAGCCACATTCAAGGGGCCAAAGAGCCGCATGTGGCCCACGAGCCGCAGTTTGTTGACCACTGTCTTAGAGGATAGAAAATTACTGGAATTAAATATTAAATTTAAGACGAGCATGTCAATACTAATGAAGTACATTTAAATCAGTGATAAAGTGTTTCCATATACTTTACTTTCCTCAGTCGTTAGGACAATCTCGAAAGCTGGGGAGAACATTGCTATCCCCATTTTACAGCTGGGAAAACTGAGACTCAGATGTGAGGTTAGTGCCATGCGGCCAAGATCAAAAACTGGTAAGTGAAAGAATTAGCCAGTGAAAAGAATGTGGACTCAGTTTCCCATAATGAAATCCTGCCTTCTGAGATTACCCAAGACAACCTGTGACAAGTGAATACAATTTATCGCTATTCTTTTGAATATCTGTGAGGCCCGTGAAACATCCGAGTTAAGAATTTTAGATTTCTCAGAGGGGAAACTATTTTTCCTGTTTACATGGCTTAGAGTTAGAAGAAAACGCTATTGTCATCTTCTCCAAGCTTAAAACAGTAGGTACAGCTAAAAGTAGTTTACTCAGCTGCTGAACAGAGTCTGCAGGGGGCACATTCAGGCCTGCCATCTTTAAAGTGCTCTCCTACCCGCATGTGTCACACCCCTGCTGACAAATCAGCCCCCCTCCCTGTTACTGAGGTAACTGTGAGCAGGGAGATGGGGAGTCCATGGAAAACAGCAAGAGGGGATGGCAAGTCCAAAGCTTTGAAGTTCAGATGCAAGAAGACATAAATACTGCTCTGGAAGGTCGGAGAAGCCCTTATCCAGCAATAACAGCCCTATGGACAGTTCTGTGGGAGAAGCAGCCTGGGCCCGAGGAAGCACAGGACAGATGCTCCTCAGAGCAGCACCCTCGAATGAAAATGCTGTGGGAATTTTGGGCGTGAGGCTGCCCCTGAGGCAAAGAGCATCAGTGCGTGGGCTGTTGCCACAGGTCCCTTGTTGCTACTTACAGAGCTTCAGTGATACACACAATGTTTAAACTCTTGTAACAAAGACGGAGAAATATACAAGAGCAAGTGGGGGGTGGGACAGAAGGCCAGCTTCCAAAAACAGGTGAGAGAAAGCAGAGAAAAGGAAAAAAGAGAAGGGTTAAAGAGGGTGGACATGAATCAAAAGCTAAACATGGGAAGAGTGTTGCTAAGAAGAAAGATAATAACTACAATGTGGAAGAAATTAAATGTCCAGGGAGAGTGGACTCAGAGAGCCCAAGTGTCTATCTTGTCTCTGCTCCTAAGAATTCCTGTTTCTTCCGCTCCCCTGGCTGCATAGTAAGGACAAGGCCGTAAGAGCCCCGTGGGGTTCAGGGGTTCATGAACCTGGTCCAGCAGCTGAGGGCAGGGAGAAAACCCTGCTCACTGGCAGTCAGACAGTCTCAGATTTAGATGATTAAATCCGGGACACTGAGGAAGGGAGGTGAGGTGGAGCATGGACTTAAGATACTGGACTAAGTGGAGAGAGAAACAACAAATCTTTACTGTGCTTTCGATACACACGTATGCGCCAAGAGCCTCTCTACTCCTTGGGGAGCCTGGAGAGGCGGGTCCTGTAGCTGACAGCTCGGAGCCTAGAGAGGGTAAGCGTATTAAGGTCACAGGTATTAAGTGGGCTGACCAGAACTGAAAGTCAGAGCCCAAACTCATAGCCACCACATTTCTCAAAAGCAGTCAAGAAACGTCCAAGGCACAGGTTGAAATGACTGAGCAAAGGCTCAGAGTAAGGTAAGGGAGCACAATGTACTGCACGTAAATGCCAAAGTCGGGTGGATACAGAAAACACATGAATGTACTCAGGGCTGGCACAGGATCCTATCAGGGTACGGAGAGGAAGGGGGAAGTGTGTGAGAGGGATCCGAGAGGGACCGCCCAGTCTCGCTCTATCCCTGCTCCTAGGCAGGACACTCTCGATGAGACTGAGCCCACCACTGACACGCAGTCATACAGCCATGGTGAGGAACTCTCAGAGTCATAGCTTTAAGAAATAACTGTGCTGGCTCACCCTCAATGCTTCCAATAGCTCAGGTATTTAAGAGCCACGATTTATGGCAAGTCAATGAAATGGTTCTGGTCCACTCATTAGACTTTTAGAACTAGTGTTTGTGGATGAGGTCAACCATGTGTGGTCCATCCCATCGCACAGCCTCCAAGGCACCTATCCTTGTCAGTGATATTCCATCCGGCCGTGGAGCAGACGGCACTAGGGGCAAACACAGTGGGTTTCTCTCTTTGCCCTTGGAGAAGGTCAGGGGGCATTTCAGTTCCTGATTTTGACTTTTCCTGACAAATGCTATCCATCAAAGTCACACTGCCCTGGATAAAGTACAACTGTGCTTACTACTGGCCACTTCAGTAGGAAAATGTTCTTCATAAATGGAATTATAGGTTTGAAGCAAGCAGATTTTTGAAATATTTGATAAGGCGAGTCTGTAGTTTGTTCCTTTACTTCTTCATAACATATTCCTGTGCCATTTATGGGTCTGGACTTAATGGCAAATTAAGATACAAAACAACATTCATACATTGGTGAATCAACTTTATGCAATAATGAAAATTCAATTTTCAAATTGGATGAAAGTCAAAGGAGTCAATCATCTTAGAATATTAGATAGTAAAACAAAGATTTGTATTTTTTCCTTATGCATATATCATATGCAGAGGATTATGTTTAAAATTTTGCCACTAAAAAGACAGAAAAGAAGTAGGATTTGAAAAGATAACACTACAACTCAGGATAAACTACTACTACTACTACTACTACTACACACACGCACACATACAGATTTGAGTAACATAGGTGAATAGACATTATCTATAATAATAAAAGCATAATATGCTAATTAGACTGGACAGCTGAACGACCTTCTGGACGTCCTTCCAGATGAAGCTGGGGCTGCGATGAATTCCGTGCATCGGGCCTCTAGTTACTATATAATCAGATAAGTTCTCATTGATTTTATGCCACTTGATATTACCCAAATTTCATCTCAAGGACTAGCAGGGCATGAAGAGAAGGTTCAAATATCAAAGGGACATTTTATCTTCAACAAAACAATAAAAATCACTTTGCTGTCAGAATATTAACATAGCAAAGCCCGTACATGGTGCTTACTACATTACTGTACTAAGTGCTCTCACATATGTTAACTCCTCACAACCACCATAAAAGGTAAGTCATATTAACACCATTACAGGTGGGCAGATAAGGAAACTGAGGAACAGAGAGGTTAAGTAGTTTGCTCATGGTCACACAACCAGTAAGTATAGAGCTGGGGTTTGAAACCAATCTATTTGTCTCAAATGTTACATATGTTCTTAGCTGTCATAGCAGCCATTCTCCAGTTTAGCCTGCATTGGAACCTCCTGGAAGCCTGTCAACACACAGACTGCCAGGCCCACCCCAGAGTTCCTGGGGTGGGACCTGAGAATTTGCATTTCTAACAGGTACAGCAGATGCTGATGCTGCTGGGCTGAGGACCACACTTGGACAGCCTCTGACCTACAGCATACCCCCTCTCTCTTATATACGGGTAGTTTTACCTTTACCTGCTTTTTAGACCTAAGGTTCAAAGCTATCTGCTGTCAAGATTTCTTGCTCCTCTCCTTAAACAGTGCAAAGCAAACGTGGATTGCTCCTCAAGTAACTGTCTGTCTTATGGACTGACCTTACCCTCAGGGAGTTATCAACATGGACTAATCATTGGAATCACAGGTAAGACCAAGTTCAAGGCAGCAGTATTTTGAGAAGGCTTGCTTCTATGTGTCTCAGACAGGGAGAGAGCAGAAGGTAGAAGATTATTTTATACTAAGGGCCCAGTGCATGAATTCATGCACCTTGAAAGGAACTGTGGGCAGCAAGGCTGTGGTAGGCACAGGGCAG